TCTTATGCTAGGGAAATGTAAGCCTACCTAGCTAATTAAAACATTTGAGCCAGTGAGCTCTTGTGATCTTGTCCAGGTCAGTGCTAACTACATCATTGTTGTCCAGAGACAAGCAGCATCGGCATCACCTGGGAGCTTGTTAAATGCACACTTCTGAATCAAAAAACTCTATTTTTACAAGCTCTCTAGGTGATTCTGATACTCACTTAAAATTTGAGACTTATTAATCTAGGCCAGTGGTCTTCAAACTTCCTTTTCTGTCATAAGAACTTTCTATATGGAATAAAGAAGTTTGGGAGTCCAACTAGTTAAAAGCATTTAGTGAATCTGGTTAATGAATAAGTGTTGTGGCTTTAGTTGAAGTTCTCTTGGGTGCTCCTGGGTGAGGTTTCTTGTGACTCCCTTGGCTCAGTGGAGTTCACTCTATAAATCAGTAATAGAGGTCTACCCCTCTTTGACAGATGAGACCTCAGAGCTCTGAGAAGGGAAGGGATTTAAGTTTGCTCAGATGATATTGCAATTCAGAATTTTAGAAACTCATTCTGAGACCAGGACTTCTGTAGATTGGATAAATTCATGCATGATCACTAATTCTAGAAAAGCAGTTACCAAAGGTTCTACATAAGTGTTATATTTGAAATAATTTTAGAAAGTAAGTTTTAAAAATTCCAGGAACACAGGGGCACCTGGGTATTTCAGTTGGTTAAGTGTCCAACTCTTAGTTTTAGCTCTGCTCTCAATATGAAGTCTGCATAAGATTCTCTTTCCCTCTTCCTCTGCCCTCCACCCATGTTCTCTCTTTCTCTCAAATAAATAAGTAAATCTTCTTAAAAAATTTCAGGAACACATATCTCATAAAATTAGATACTCCAGAATATGGAATTTTTTTAAGTCTCAAAAGGAAAAATTATTTTTCATTTTAGAATCTTTTGTGTTAGCCAAAAAAGTAGGTAAAATATCTCTCCAGTTTATTAAAGAGCTTTGATTTTGTGTTTTTATTCATAAGGCACTAAAATAGTTTATAGAACTGTCCCAAGTGCCTAGCTTAGCTCAGATGTGGTCTGGAATTCTTATTTTATAGTTTGAATGTACTATATGCTGGGAATACTTAAGTGTGGCATGTGATTCCAGGTTGCAAATTAAGATTTAAAAAGAGCTGGTTTGTGCTTCGTGGCAACTTGGCATACTGAAATAGTTCGTATGACTGAAGCATAATGGTACCTGTTCAGTTCTATAGAAATTAGCTGTTTGACATCTGTTTTGAACCCCTTGTGGGTGCTAGAGTTATATTTTCTCAAGGCATCACAGCTGAGGGTATAATAAATCCTTGATGAGAATTTCATGCTTCTAAAATGCTGGGGTATGACTCGGTTTATATACCCCAGTCAGGTTCTCTCTATACGCTTGCTTTTTGGGAAAAGGCAGGTATTGGACTTTCACAGATTTTGCTTAAAGTCATCACAATCATGACTTGATTTGCTGGAGTTTCAAATCCCAGGGTGGCAAATGTAGTGATTATATTTGACTTGATACTTGCTTGTTGGTTGACTTATTAGTAAATCCTTTGACCTCGGAGGAAACTATGGCTTTGTGTAGGAGCTTTCCCATTCCACCACCATAGCCCTTTCCTCCTCCCACAGCGCCATGTTGCTGTCCTTAAGCTTTGCGCCCTGCAGATTCCCCTCTTGCCCTGTAGACCTCCTTTGGCTCTACATCACTTCAGGTCAGCTGATAAAGAGACCAGCTTACCCAGTTACTTGGGTGGCATGTGGAATCTCAAGGAGTCGCAGCCTCAAGGATCCCAGTGCTGATTCAGTGTCTGTCCAGTGTGCTTCTGTGACACATTTGTGGACACAGAAGAAGAGTTTGAGTTTAAATGGTGGTAAAGTTCTACTTCAGTGAGTGAACAATTGTACTCGGAAGAGTGATCGATGTAACCATAGAGAGGAGTGATCAACATGGAGGTTCCCAGATTCTCTGCATTTACTGTACCCTAGTGTCTCAGTAATTCCTTTGCAAAGCCCATAGGCCAAGAAGGAATGCCAAACAGTCATAACTGTTAGGAAGGGAAGGTCAGACAATTTAAGAAGTATTTATGTCCTAACAACTTAGCAGACATTTGAAACACTAATGCGCATAACCAGAAGGAAATAATACTTTCTTTCATCCTTAAATAGCCATGATCATTTGCCGGTATTATGGTATGCACACCTGTTAAGCTTTGTACACCTTCTCAAACCTTGGAGAAAGCATGAATGCTGTGTCCCTCATTTCCTATTCCACGTTGATTTTTCACAAGCTATATTTGCTTTTTATCATAGCAGCCGTGAAAACTCAGCTTCACCAAGATATCATAAAAAGGAATGTAGCAGGGCTCCACGGTGGCTCAGTGGGTTAAGGGTCTGACTCTTGATTTCAGCTCAGGTCGTGATCCCAGGGTCATGAGATCGAGGTCTGTGTTGGGCTCCATGCTTAGCAGGGAGTCTGCCTGAGATTCTCTCTCTCCCTCTGCTGCTGCCCCTTATGTGGTCTGTCTCTCAAAGAAATAAAGTCTTTAAAAAAAAAAAAGAAGGAATGTAGCATTATCTGATATCAAAACTGTGAGCTACTTTGAGCTAGTATGTTGTACTACTTTCTGAGAAATGTTGCTGTATTTTCCTTGAAAATCATTAATTTGCCACTGCGGTACCCCAAGTTACTTACAGGGAACTGTAGGTTAGATGGTACATAGTTCTTAGATGTGTCCAATTTTCTTTTTCCAGCAATCAGAGTTTTACAGGTAAGGTAGGAGATAACATTTGTTTCACACTGGCAAGATAACATGATTTCACATAAATATATCAACTATCTAATTAGTTGGGTGGTTCTCATTTTCCCATTTTTACTGATGGAAAGATGAGAACTCAGAATTATTTCCTCTGTTTAAACAGTATAGGGAACAGGGGAAGGTCATGTGCAATTATTTAACTTCAAATCCTACTTTGTTTTCTCCATATATTTGATCTCTGCTTCTACTGAGCTTAGAGATGAAATGGGATATTACATTTGTGTAGCAGATTGGAATTGTGAGAGCTGTGTCTGCCAGTCAGGAGTTTAATGAGAGAGGAATGTCAAGGTCAGCCCTTGGCTCCAAGTAGCTCTTGAACAAATGTAGAAGGAAGAGCTACAGCTAATATCCCTATCCATGAAAATTGCTTACACTTAGGTGCCTGGAGGGTCAGTGATGGACAGCGTAAAGCTTCCAGTGATTTCATGCTAAGATATGTATATATTACAGTAGGTCTAGTAATTGGCTCCAGGGAGATGGTGATTCTGTTGTGCTCTGCTTGTAGCTGTCTGGAAGATCACACTTGGAAGTTATTTGTAAGTTCTGAAGCATGCCTGTTAAATCATGGGTGAGGGACCTGGGACAGTTCAGCCAGCAGACACTGAACTTATGGAGGAAGGATGTGATAGGTGTCTTTCTAGTTCAGCCTTCCTAATATTTGAAAGAAGAGTTGTGCTTATTCTAGCCTAACCCGGAGGACAGAATTAGTACTTTGAAGTACATAGCTTATCAACCTCAAAAAAAGTAATAATAATAATTTTTAGTGGTTCCAATTGTCCCAGGAGGCAATAAACTCCCATTATTGAAAATCACTGTGAAAATGATAAAAGAGGTAGTAGATCATATAACATTGGCTCCTAAAGGCCTTTCAACCTATTGATTCTCTTTTGCTAACTTGCTAATTTTCATTTCTTTGAACAAAGGCTTTCATTGTAACTGTGCTTTAAATTCAGTTTGCCGTCTCTCCAAACACAGACAAGTCTCTGGGTTGGTAAAAGTAAATAAAAGGTAAAGTTTAAGTTTTTTGTTGGAAACTGATGTTTTGAGGTCAGAGGCCGTATGAAAGGTCATAGTACAACTAAGAAAGTCTTTAAGTATCTATCCCAGTTTACAAGTACAGTACATATGCGGGTTCAGCCAGTATATCTCTGGGAAACCCCGACAGGCCTTTTACTGTGTTTGTGTGTGCAGCACATGCGTGCAGTGTATGTGCACGTGTGTGTGTATGTTTTAGTCATTCAGGAGTTTACCTGTCAATTTCCCAAAGTGACTATCAGCTCACCAGTTCAGAATTTAAAATAAGTCAGTCCTGAGGTACTGGTAGTTTTCTCAAGTTATTGTATTATCTGGTCTCATACTCTGAACATAGCCTTCATCATAATTAACACTGCTGTGTTTTAGCCCCACAGATTTATGTTGGGTCCTCTTCCCAGATGACTTGAGAACCTAAGAAAAATAGCCCACATTCTTTTGATTCCTTGCAGAAACAACCCCTCTTCGGCAAAGGCAGTCGTATCTCCCCCCGTTGGGCTGTGCTTCTACCCAGCTGAGCTTTGGGAGACCTTCTGTCCCTGTGACGCCCCCACGCCTTCTTAAATCCTTCCACCGTAGCTGCCCTTCAGACACTGCCTCCATTTCCGAGGTGGAGAAGGGGAAGGCTTTCTTCCTCTCTCTTCCTCTGGTCCTCTTTCTGCACTTCTCAAGCCTTGCCAATTTTCTTTCCCTTCCGTGAAAGCAGATTTTACAGAAGATTCTCTTACCAGCCCTAGGTTGTATGTGTTGAGCAGAAAAGCAAAAATGGGGTCTGTGCTAGTTTTCTGATTTATTCAAAAGACATTTCCTAAGACCTCTAACTAGCTTCCCTGTCTTTATCATTCGGGGGGCCACATGTGGCCCTGAGGAGTTGGCGCGCATGGTTCCCCCTGGGCAGAGCGATTACAGACAGGCTGTGTTTTAAGTTAGTTTTGACTTGTGTATTTCATCTGTGAAGTTGGCAAATACTTGAAAGCCACAAGCTACTGTTTTCTGAAAGCTTCTTTGCACATGAGCATAAAATGTATGTATTGAATCTGGAAATGGTCCAATAACTGCCCTTTTAATGCAGCTAAATGTAGATTACAGCTGTTTCCCCTGGAAGGATGCACATAGTCATCATTTCTTTCTTCTCTTACAGGGTGTCTCCTCTGCAGAAGTCTGAAATAGTGGACGTGGTTAAGAAGCGGGTAAAGGCCATCACCCTCGCCATTGGGGATGGTGCCAACGACGTTGGGATGATCCAGACAGCTCACGTGGGTGTAGGAATCAGTGGGAATGAAGGCATGCAGGCAACCAACAACTCGGATTATGCCATTGCACAGGTCAGAGGCGCGGTTGACCAACTGTCCTGTCCTGTTGACAGAGATGTCCACTGGGCATGAAAGTCTGATTGGTGCTTGACCTTCAGTCCAGCCCTAAGAACTGTGCCATCCCTTTTGAAGTTTGTCCAGACAAAATCACCAGAGTATTCGGATTTCCCTGTGGCCTTGATCCTGTGCAGTTTAAAGGCCCCTGGTTGTTGTAGTTGTTTTGGTTCTTGTGGTGGGTTTTTGCTAGCTGTGAGGTTGGCCAAGCTCTCTGTCCTCCAGGCAGGCATCGTTCATAACAGATAGGTCTCTGATCCTGCTAATGATAGTCTTTCATCCTCAGCTTTCACATCTGCTGCATGGGCTTTTCCCTGTGCTGTCCCATACCAAGGAATAGCTGTGCTCATTATATCCGTTCTCTACCATTCCCATTCCAGAACTGGTTCTCTTTTTAGAAGGTGCTAGAACGCTCTCTCCTCAGGCATTTGAGGTCAGGGGAAAGCAGTGGCTTACAACTGCTTCCCTCTCTGTAGCCATAACCAGGGTGCTGTAGCGATAACCCACGGTCAGTAGGAGCCGGCCTCCTGCTGTTAGGCCAAGGTCAGCCCATTCCCCTCTGGATCCGATGTTGCATGCAGAGGTTCCTGATGCACTTTGTAGTCATGGAACAGGTGGCTTGAGGCTGAAAGAAATGTCTACTCCTCAATGATGGAGAGCCAAAAAGTGAAGGAAAATAGCCAACCTCCTGATCTCAGGTGACATATCTAGGTTTTTTGGCCTGCTTGATCATCCAGAAAATCTAGACTGCATACTGGGCACTGATCATTTCCTCCTGTCTATGCATTACAGTATGTCATGATAAAGGGCCTGCTCATTTGGTCATTAGCTAGGGTTCCCTCATCTCCTTCCAGTGTTTAGTCATTTGAAGAATGTGTTAACCTTAATCGCATGAACACAGGTAGTGATGGCTTTTTACCCCTTCCAGCTGACATCAGGGGCTGCATATGGACTGTGAAAGAGCTTCCAGCATCCCAGGGCTGCAGGCTGGTCCTGTGCAGCTTTGGGGTCTACCTCCCCAGAGGGGTGCTCTGTATTAGATCACCTCTCCGATTCCCTCCCAGCTCGTGGTTCTGCAAACACAGGGAGGAATTACAAAATCCTCATGGCTCTGGAAAGTACATGAAATCAATCTCGATTTCAAATAAATCCTCAAGATAATTGCTAAAGTAGTCAGGGAAAGGAATTCTGATTGTACAGGTGGGAACACTGGGGCTCCTTCACATTGGGTGACCTGCCTTGGGTCCGAGCATCCAGGGTCAGAGAACACCAGACTTGGACGTGACCTTAGGGACCATCCCCGCACACCTGCCCGTTCACGTTCCTGAGTAAACCACTCCAAGGCCTGTGGGACTCTCGCTTCCTGTAGTCTGTCAGCAGCTGTAGACGTTATACACCCAGCATTATTAAATACTTGAGTTATAGCATCATGTGGCTGGAAGGGATCTTTGGAGGTTTCCTAGGAGTTTCAGGCAAATATTTGTCTGTCTTTTTCTTTAAAATGTCTGGGGAAGGGAGATTCCATGACCTGCTTTATTGAAGCTGCATAGTAATAGGCTGTGGAATCTGGAGCAATTGCTCTCTTCAAATCAAAAGCATCAAAGAAGCATAAGGAGGAGAGAGTTAGAGTTAGAGTTCGGGGTTTTCTTGCCCCACTGGTGTAACAATGAGCACGGCCAGAAGAAGTGACGGGTAGCCACACGTGTCCGTGGGTCTTCATTTCTCCTGTCTGTGGTCCTGCTCACGATCAGGAAGAGGTTCCGCTGTTTCAGGGCAGCGTTGCTCTTTGCCTTACGCCTTCTCTGCCAGACCCTGTGCCTCCTCTTCTTCGGTTAGAAGCAAGAGAGCCCACAATTTCATGCATCCCTTCACCCTGGTGAAATGATCCATGTCTTTGGTTGGAGTTAACATCTTAGTCTCTGTCACTTTACTGCACATGGATGAAGACATTTTTGATTGGGTTTTTGAGGCAGTACCCTGGAAGGTTACATACAGAAGAAAGCACCTTAGCTCCCAGTCCTTGGGAAAAATGATGAAATGGGCAAAACTCTGGTTCTGCTTCTTTCCTGCCTACCTGTGCTTTTATCCACAGAGCAGCCCCTGGGACTGACAGCCACCCCCCGCCCCCGATCTGCTGCCTTGCCCATGGGCAGCCTGCATGTCCTCTGGCCCCAGCTGCCTGTTCTCCTCAGGAGACAATCGTTCGCGCCCCCTACCTTCTTAAGGTTTTTGGAATGGCCTCCTGAAAATAGCATTTTGATTTAGGATATATGCATTTTTTTCCCCCTGAAAACAAATCGTTGTCGCACTAACATTGAGTCATTTTGGATGATTTCAGCAGATGTTCTCTGTGCCCACTGAAGTTTAACATCAGGGGGTCTGGGTCAAATGCAAACTTCCTTTTTATTTGTTTAGCCAGTTACTTTATGATTCCCCATTCCCCTTTGGAATCCTTAATGAGCTTTTATGGGGAGTTTTATTTTTCCATATGCACCTACCCCTGCCATTTTGAAGTGGCCATATAGCTTTTGGAGTTTGCAGTCAAGTGACCTGCCTTATCCCCATCTCCTGGGTAGATTTCTCATGAAATGTGATGTCATGTTGGATTGAGCTGACTTCTTCACAGCTAATGGAAATTATTATGTGGCTTTCGCATTGGGTGACCTGAAAGAAAGAAATGTTTTGAAAGAAAGTTTTGAAAGAAAATGTTTTCTTTAAAGAAAACTATATTTCCTATCAGTCATTCTTTTCTACTGATAGTTAAATTTAATTTCAAAAGTAATCAGAAATTAATCGGAAGTTTGCAATAGCAAAAGAATTTCTGAAGTTTACAGATGTTCTCAATACAGTCTGATTATCTCTTCCAAGGGAATGAGCCCAAGGACTGCCCTATGACTTTGAATAGGGGAATTAAGGTTTTAGTTCAAGGCAATCAAGGGAAATGTCAGTGGGGTCCAAGGCCAATCAGTGTATAGAAATCATGGATTTAAACAGGTTCGCCCCAATGGTGCCTTCATGCCAGAGCACACCATAGGCCACACAACAAAACAACAACCACAACAAAAACTCTCATTTCTCTCCCTCCAGCTCATGTTCATGCCTTTGGGGACCTTTGTGAAGTAGGACACAGCAAGCGAAGCCAGGCTAAGAGAATGCTGAGGGGATAGGATTTAAGTGGGATCCAAAGACCCCCTACCCCAAAGAGGATTCAGGGATTTTACTGAATATTGCTCAGTATTTCAAACTGCAAGAACCATTCCATCACTGTCACCTTAGTTTCAGCCACTTGTTTTTTTGTTTTTCTTGACTGCATAGCACTCTAGCAAGGGGTACTCTGTACTAGGTGGTAGCAAAAAAGGAGAACAACGTGGTAAGGCTGTGTGTTTGTGCCTGAACATCTGTGTGCATGTGCAATGCAATTGCTTTTAACGTGCAGGCTGACAGTGGAAATAGGTCGTGTCTCCACGTGCATCCCTTTTTTAAAAAAGGGTTATGGTTCACGAGTGTTCCTGTCCCTTGTTCCTGAAGTCACCACCAAATCTGATTGACTAGAAGCATCTGGTTGCCACTGTGCTTTTCTTTTCTTCCAGTTCAAGAGGTCACCTTCTCCTAACCGTTAAGACCCTTAAGAAGCATTTGTGTAAACAGAATTCACAAGAATAACAATGAGATGTCCAAACTGGCATTTGGGGGAAAATACTAAGGTAGATTTAAGAGGAGAGTTTAGTTGTCCTCACTGGACCCAAAAGCTCTGCCTATAGTTTCTGGAAATGTATGGTTTTCTCAGGTTCTTGGCAGAATCTGTCTTCCTGGATGACCTTGTCTGTCCCCAAACAGCATTTTGTGACTTTTGTTCGTAAAGGATGGGCGCTCCTGAACTTTGCCATTTTTCCCCCTCAGTTCTCCTACTTGGAGAAGCTGCTGCTGGTCCATGGCGCCTGGAGCTACAATCGTGTGACCAAGTGTATCCTGTATTGTTTCTATAAGAACGTGGTTCTCTACATTATCGAGGTGAGCCAGGCCACCTTCTTCCTTGGCCGGTGGGTGGGGGAGGAGTGGGGGTGGGGACGGGGTTTTTGCAGAGGGCATCTTCACATACTTAAGGTAAGTGCAAGAAAGTATTTTGTTCTTGTGAAATTCAAAGGTCCTGCTGGGACATACACAACCTCTGTGAAGTGGGGTCACCTCACAGATCGAGGTCCTCATGCCGAGGAACCAGTGCGGGGAGCCTTGGTGTCCTTGGCCCTTGTGGACTATTCTTGTCGTCACTCACGTTGTGCTCCTTGGCCGGGAGATGGGGGCGGGGGGGCGGGGAGATGGTGGCTGAGAGCCTGGGCAGCCGATGTGCTTTCTCGGTGGCACAGGGATGTTTCCAGGCAACCTGGTTGCTCTTCTCTTTCCTAGACTGAAAGGGCCTGATTTCTTGATCTGTTTCTCATGGCATTTGCAAGTTACCCAAGCATTGATTCCCAGCCTCTAGAGTATTTGAACATACTATTTAAATGGGGGAAGGTGTGGGAGTAAGTGGGGAGTAAACAAATAAGGCAATTAAGAATATCTCTGTGAACTTCTTGGGTTGTCAAGCTGGTTTTCAGCATGTTGATTCAATTGCAGGCACACTTATTTTACTTATTAGAGGGACTAGAGCAGGAGAGGGCTGGGGCTGGGAACAAGAGGAGTGGGTGCTTTCTCATTAAACTCTGGGAGGACCAGCCGCCTCTTGCCTCCTTTTTAAGGCCAGCTCTGCTGTAGACCGTGTGGTTTTTGAGGCCGACGTGACTAATAGATTTCCAAGTGTGTTGAGAAAAGAGGAAGCGGGCTGTCACTCTGTAAAGAAATAGGAAAGCAATGTTAATTGCATTTGGTGTTACTATCTCAGTCTGTTAGGAGTTATTTTGTGTCAGATTTCTCAGCTCTTGGTGGAAATAATAACCAAGACATTCATCAACTTTATCTTATGTGGTCCTTTAAAATGTGCAGCTCAGGGACTTTAACAAGTGGTTCACTAATGGAACTGTGACTGAACATTTCTTTACCCAGTTGTCTATTCTTTCCTATTGAATATTCACGTAAAACATAAACGTTCCCATCACTCAGTCTTTAACCAAACTACTACTGAGTAGTTTTCCTGAGTTTTGTGCATTTGTGCATTATTCTAACTTGCACAAAGGGCATCCTCCTTGCCTTGTCTGCTCATCTCATGCTATAATACTCAACTCAGTCCACTCCAAGTGAGAACTTCTTGATGTTACATGTAATGGATTCTGTAGTTTCTATCTTCCTCCTGTCTGCATTTTTACATTTTTTGTCTTTTTTTGGGCACTTAAATAATTTATGTTTGTCCTCCTGTTTCTGTGGCATTTTTTTTTTTTTTTTTTTGGCCTCCATGATAGCAGTCACTCCTGAATGTCACATGGGGTCATAGATAATCAGTGCTGTGGACTAAAGGAGTGTGGGAATCCCTGCTCCCACACGCCATCCCAAGTCCCACATGCATTTTCAGCTCCTACTGTAGTAGTCGGCTTCATAGGACTTCTTAATAATCTGGTTTTCCTCAAAATCAGCAAATTACAGATAGTCTAGACTTCTTATCAAGACATTCTACATGAAGCTCCCAACTCTTTAGCTTCCCAGAGCTTCTTCCGGGGCCCTTCTTAGTCATTTACACCTCCTATCTAGCCTTTTTTTATTTTTATTTTTATTTTTTTTTTTATTTTTTTATTTTTTAAACTTCAAGAGGCTTAAGGACGAGAAGAGTATAATTTTTGTCTGTCTGGAAAATTCCATTTGGAATGAGGCCCTGAAAATGCCATGTGAGTTCCCTAAATTAATTTTTCAATTGTAGCTAAACCACAGCTATACATAATCTTTTATAAACAGCCTTTAAAAATATCCTGGATAAAATTTTAAAATTACGTAAATTCTCTCCCACTCTGGTCTCTGTCTTCTGCTTAGTATTTTGAGGCAATTTAACTTGAAAATCAAGAAAAAGCAAAATCTTCAACCGAGTCCAGAAAGAGCATTGACTCAGTGCCCGCCCAACCTCTGTGGCATTAACATGCACTTCAAATATAACTCTAAAAACAGGAAAGTTCTACTTGGATGGTATTTTAGTGTGTTTTGAACCAAAAGATCAAAGATTGTTGTAATTTCATTTGCTCCTTTGCAATGAATAGTTCACATTCTAAAGGTTACCTTGTAACTCATTGAAAATAAATTGTATTCTTCAATGGTTTTCTTGTAACTCAAGGGAAACCCTTTGCAAGAACCAGTATGTTCTCATCTCAAAAAAGCCCAAGTGGGTATGTGCACACACATACTGATCAAGTCTTGGCTATTATTATGAGGATCATTATGATTTGAATAACCAATAAAGATTTCATGGAAGACCTATAAGCCTGTAATTAATACGACCTGCTCCCTTGGTACACTGACCTATACAACTTGAGTTTTCTGCAGAAGGATTATGTGGCTCTAGTCTCACTCCAATATGGAGGGCAAGCTGACAGCTCCATCCGCTCTCATCCCCAGCCCTCTTGGCAATATTCTTCTATGACCTTTTCCTGTGTTTATAGAGCCATTTACATATACAAACGAATGTTTTAACATAAATGTCCTCATGCTTTGTAATATGTTCTGCAGTTGATATGATATTTACCAGGGTATTTGGGGAATCATCCCCATGACTACATTTGGGTTCATTGCCTGGCGTTTCACAGCATGTTTTCCTACAATCTATTTAACCATTCTTTTATTTTTAAAATTTTTTATTAACATATGATGTATTCTTAGCCCCAGGGGTACAGGTCTGTGAATCACCACGTTTACACACTTTACAGCTCTCACCATATTTAACTATTCTTATATTGATAAGTGTTCGACTCCTCTCCCTTTTTACCCACAAAGAGCCGTACGGATAACAGCTGTCCCTCGAAGCAGCCATAATTATTCTACCAAAATTATAGTGATCTAATTGGAGCATTACTATCACGGTGCCTTGAGTATATATAACACATGATCTGGTTTATGGATTATTATCTGTACCTCAGGTTCCTTGTTGCTGACCACCTTCATGCTATTTGATGTGTCACATAATATTTATTAAGGCTGAAATAACCATTGGTGTGAGTGATTAAAAAATAGGAAGAAAATGATGGAAACTGATTTTGTTTCTACCCTATCAATGGGCAAAATGAAAAATACATAAACCTTGGCTCTCCATTTCCTCCATTGCTGCCTTAATCTTGTACTTCTTACCCGCACAAAGCAAAGATCGCTAGCTTTGCCCCATCAACCAACTATAGTGCAACTAGGATGAGCTTCCTGAACACACATGTGAGTGATTCAGTGGCTGGCGTAGTTTCTGTAACATAGGTGCTTAGCAATGTTGGCAGTGCCACCATCCTCCTTGGACTTGTCAAGGTTCCTGTGGCTCCTGATGAAATGCCCATGTGCCACTTCATGCCCCTGCCCCTCATGTTCTGGATCCCGACTATCACCAGCCTCATCTCCCATTGCATCCCTCCTCATTCTGTTTTGAATCAGAACTACTGAAGTACAGTTAATACATAGTTAGATACCCCTTCATCAGGCATACAGTTCTATAAATTAAAACTGGATTTTATTATTAGAAACTAACTGGCAGTTTTCTGCCTGCCTCCTGTAGATGACAAGAGTGTCACCAAGAGTTTCTGGAGATGGATGACAAAGATGGTTGCCCACAGGGTGAATGTACACTTAAAAATGATTAGGATGGTAAACTTTATATTGTTTGTGTTTTACTACAATAAAAAAAAAATACTAAAAACATTTGAAAAGAGAATCACAAGTACTTTGTGGCTTTAGTCACATGGAGGGAAACAAAAATGTGTAGCCAGACCATATTGTTTGGAGAGCTCACTGAAGGTTTGAAAAATGAATTTGACATGTAGTTTTGTTTTGTGTTAGCAATTAAATGCTAAGTTTTGTGGCTGTGACCACATAGAACACATTTCTCAGAAGGTAAAATTGTGTCGTGGGCTAGACCATGCGGAATGTCATCATCTTGTGAGACATGTGGGGTCCCCTGTCAGCCAGTTAGCTGTGGTACATCCCTGGTGGGTCTGAGGTGAGGAGCAGGAAAAGGGATAAAGTTAGTGAAGGCAAGGAGATAGGACTGGATGGGATATATAAGTGGCCAATGAGGGGCATCTAAATAACTAGATGTTGCTATTGGAAGCTGGAATTCCTTTTTCATTCTGGAATAGGCACAGTAAAGGCAATTTCAGAAAATGTATATGTCAGTTAGGTAGGACAGATGGTAAGCAGAGACCTTTAATGTAATTTTGTAGTTTTAACCTGGGGCGTGAATCGTGACCATTATGTAACCATTTCCCAGCATAATTTATAAGCAGAAAGGAAAGACTGATTTTTAAAAAGCCCTTTGATTTTGACAATGGGAGGAATTTACCTTAAATGTAAAGACTGCAGAAATATTCCTACACATTTTTGATGTCCTCCTGTGACTGCTGTGTGATAATGCCCAAAGAGAGAAGGGTCGATTAAATTTTTTAAAGTTCCTAAGCTACTTAACAAACTAGGCATTTGTTTTTCAGAATTTCCTGAATAGAGTACAAAACATAACAAAGAGTTTCAAAGCATAACAGCCTCAGCATGTGAAGTGTTTACTAGGTGTGAGTTTGTCCACAGACTTTCTGAACCCCTAGGAAAATGTTATTTGGAATGGAGAAAAATTTTAGTGATAATAAAATGCAAATAGGAAAACAATAGGGAAGTTACCCAAATTTAACCTGCAATTCAGAGAATGATGATACAGACCCCTTATCAACTTTGGTATAACATAAAGAAAAGACACCAAATCATCTTTGAAACAGAGATGAGACTTTGAAATTATGATGATTTGTTGGTGGCTCCTTATACAGAAAATAACCATAACATATAGGTATTGATGTGAAAAAAGTGGGAATTTTATACCATTTAGAGTGTCTAAATGTGTCTTTTTTGTCTTTTTG